ACCTCCCCACTTCTACGCCGGGCAGGAAACCAGGATCAGAGCCCAGGAGGAGATCGATAAGCATCGAAAGGCCCTCAGGTGTAAAGGACTTTGCGTGGACTTTGTACCTGCTGTCAGCACTGGTGATCATGTGCTGTCAACGTCTGCTGGGGTGGTGACGGGAGCTCGGAAGTTCTTGAATCAGAAGACCTTAGAGGCCCAGGAGATCACCAAGGTGCCCCAAGCCGCAGGTAGGGTCTGTGCTAGGCATGTTCAAGCTGTGCTTCCTGGGGACATAGTCTGGGTCTCTGTTTATTTCTGGCATTCGATGGGGGTCAAGGGCGAGAATGCGGACCTCTTAGCTGGGCTTGGAAGGTTCCTGGAGTCCCTCACCGTGCCCTGGGTCATCGGCTGCGACGCTAACATGGAGCCGAACTCGGAAGGTCTGAAAGCTTGGTGCTCCCAGCTTGGAGCGTCGGTGGTGGCTTCAGCTGAAGCGACGTGCAGTGCAGGAGCTGGCAACAATCTAGATTTTTTCTTGCTGTCGCACGGCCTGAGCCAGTGCGTCGAGAGTGTCAGGGTGCTCCACGACGCGCCCATCAGTCCCCGCTCGCCTGTCGAGCTTTGGTTGAAAGGAATCTCGATGTCGATCCCGATCCACGTTAGGCTTAAGAGGAAGCGCTTCCCGACAAAGAAGCCTATAGGGTGTATCAGACAGCCTGAACATAGAGTTTGGTCTTGGGATCCTGGACGAGATGATATTGATTTCTTGGGCTCTTGGGAACAGTGGCTTACCAATATGGAGTTTGAGCTTTGTCGAATATGCGATATATACGGTGAAGCTAGACAGGTTTATCTTGGGAGGTCCCAAGGGTTCCAGCGGAAGGTCCTGCCTCTGGAGCTGCTTCTGCGGAAGAAGTGGTTCTCCAACTCTACTCCCCAGCTTAGGGCGTGGCGCTCGCTCGTGGCCTTGCTTGCTAAAGCTGAACACTGTGCTGCGAACAACTTCGAGGGCACGCTTTGGGAGAGAGTCAAGGCAGGCCTATTTCGGCTAGACGAAGAGCTGCTGCTGCCTCAGTTTTTAGTCATTGCGCCTTCGATCAGCGACATGATCGAGGCTATCACGGGCACGGATGGCCGAGAGCTGGGTTTTTTCCTGCCCACGGCCAGATCAACGCACGATCACCTGCTCAGCCAGCACTCGCGTAAGAGATGGGCTAAGTGGAAAGCGTGGGCTAAGGAGTCAGTGACTAAGGGAGGCAAGGAGGCCCACAGGTACAGCAAGATGAAGATGCCTGTGGTCGGACCTCGTGGGGACCAAGGGTTTGAGCTCCAGGGGGACATGGCGATCCAGGCGCTCGAGAGAGAATGGAACGGGCATTGGCAGAGTCATAGGTCGGGGCTTTCAGAAAGGCAACTGGAGTTCGCTAAACAGTCGGAACCTCTTGGAAGACCCGATCTGCAAGTTGTGATGTGGGCTCTGCACCGCTTCAAGCACGAAACGGGCCTCGGAGCGGATGGCATCAACCCGAGGTCTTGGGCCCTGCTGCCTCAGGATTTCCTCATTAGGCTCATAGATGTGATGATGGCCTGGGAGAGGGACCCTTTCAGCATTCCAGATAAGTACCCCACGATCATTGTCTTTCAGGGCAAGCAAGAAGGGGAGGGCCTCAGGCCTTTGGCGCTCATCCTGTCGCGTTTCAGGTTCTGGGGCCGAGTTAGGCAGTGTGAAATGAGGGCCTGGGAGGCTCAACATCGCACTCCGTTCTTTTGGGGCTCCAGGGACAAGGAGTGCGACCGTGCTGGATGGCAACATGCAATGATTGCTGAATTTGCACGTGCTAAAGGGTTCGAGTCGGCCACGCTGTGCAAAGACCTCGAGAAGTTTTATGAAAGAGTTGCTCCTGGGATCCTGTTCGATGAAGCCAAAAAGAGTGGGTGTCATCTGGGCCTTACGGTTTGTGCTATTGCTCTGTACACGGGGCCCAGGGCCATCGATTTCTCTGGAGCGACGTCGGGGGTCTTTCGCACGACGGGTACCATATTGGCTGGCTGCAGCTTGGCGACTTCATTCGCCCAGCTAGTCTTGTACCGCGTCCTGTGCTGCTTGGCGCAGACCTTCCCCTCCCTGTACATTAGGAACGTCGTCGACGACGTTTCGCTGCAGCTGCTGGGCACTGCCAAGTTCGTTGTAGAGAATCTCTCAGCAGCGGGCATCCAACTAAGACAGGGGTTTGATGACTTGGAGTTGGTCGTCTCGGGGAAGAAAACGGTCTTCTTGGCGTCGGCTCAGGATGTTTCAGAAGGTCTCCAGAAAGCTTGGAATCATCTTAAGTACACGGTGAAAGAAGCTGTCAGGTCTCTTGGTTGTGATGCCGTATGCAGAAGGATTCGTAGGAATGTGACTTCACTAAAGCGTCTCCGAGGTGCAGCTCGGAAAGCGCGACGGCTCTGGAAACTGAAAGTGGCTGGTGCTGAGATAAGTAATGTATACAGAGCGGGGCCTCAAGCGGGAGCTCTATGGGGTACAGCTGTAGCGGGTCTTACTGCAAGCCAAGTGCACACACTAAGGGTAGCAGCGTGCAAGAGTTTATCCAAGCATAAAGCTGGAGCGATCACATCATACAAGCTGCGCGCACATGATAGGGGCAGAGCCATGGAGCCGTACATCCTGTATCATGCCAGTGTAATACATCAATGGGCGCGTGCAATATGGGATGGCACACCTCCTTTGTATGTGATGCAGTATGTGTTCGAGCTTGCTGTGGATGCAATGTCTTCTACGCGCAGGCCGTGGCTGAGTGCAACTTCGCCTGCGCACGTCTTGCTGCTCACGCTGTCGGAAATAGGTTGGCGGCCTGTCAGTGCGAGGATCTTGTTGAAAGCGGACGGTGGGAAAGTTGACCTCCTCCAGCTTGCCCCTTTGTCGGTCAGAGATCTGGCGGAAAGAAATGCAGGACGCAGGGCTGACGTGAAAGGCTTGAAGCGTCGACCGTGCCTCAATAAGTCCTGGGTCCGTCCTGTGTTTTGGGAAGGGGCCTTGAAGGTCATCAACGGGGCCCAAAATGAGGTTTGACATGACCACCATCAGGCGTGTGCTCGTAATTGTTTCTCCATGGGCACCTGGACTCAACAGAGATTATGCGATCAACACCTTGCGCCAGACAATGTGTGTCGTCTCTGCTGAGGTGCCCCAGGAACCCTATTCCACAGGAGATTCGAGTGCGCTGCCTTCGATGCTGACCGTCGGGAGCACCTCAGCGACGAGACCAAGCGCGCAGCCAGATTAGCATGTGAGCTCGGTCAAGATCTCGAAAAGTTTGCTGCAGGGCTGATGCCAGATCCGCGTGAGATCACGACCCCAGCGTTATCGACCAGTGAGTGCCAAGTGTTTTGGTTTAGTAAGCCTGCTAGTGGGATGTTGTCGGGTCACCTCTTCACTGATGGATCGGCTCTCGACCCCACCTCTTCCAGGTTTCGTCGAGCTGGATGGTCGATCTGTGCGGTGTCTGCTAATGGTGACCTCATCTCAGCTGCATATGGGCCAGTGCCATTACAGGCGGCACCGTTCCAGCAGGCACGTGATGGGGAAGATTTCGCGTATGTGATGCTTGCTGACATTGCTACAAGCAGTTTTGAAACCTACACGGACTGTGAAGGGACCCTGGGGTGCGTCTGGGATCGACATGGATCGATAGGCTCGTGTAATCCCAGGGCCCATCTGTGGTCTCGTGTCTGGCATGTATTTTAAGATGGAATAGTGGCCCACAAAACGTTGGGGCACGCCACGATGAATGATGTTCTGGAGGGCCGATCCACTGCCTTCGAGAGGCAAGGGAATCGGCATGCAGATAGGTTTGCTAAGCTTGGTGCGTCCAAACACCCTGATGTCTCTCAGGCCAAGGTGCAAGTAGGTGCCCTGCAGAGACTCCAGGAGGAAATAATTCGGTGGGGAGGGGTCCAGGACGTCCTCATGAACCAGCGTTCGTGGTCGGACTCGTCTGGTTTTCCTGAGCCCCCTGTTGTGCAGGACGGTCTGGCCCCTGCACCATCCTGGCATGCGAAGGCTAAGAGGCAGCGTGCCTTTGAGCGCAGGTCTCTGCAGGCGGCTGATCGTCTCGGTGTGAGAAGGACCCTGATGAGTTTTAAAACTCCCCTGTTTTCGGACACGAAGGCTAGTGTTTCCAGTGCCAAAGCTGTATTTGAGAGCCAAGCTATCGTGCTCTTGCAAGGTCACAACCTTAGAATGTATAAGGTCTGGGACGGGGCGGGAGCTCGGGTGGCGGGGAGTGGGTGGGTGATGAGTTGCATCAGATGTGGGGGCTACGCGTGGGGCGGGGTAGACACGTTGTGCAAACCTTGTCCCACGCAGCCCCCCACTAAGGATTTGAAGCAACAGAGGAACCGTCCATTTAAAGGCCTCTTCCCCAGCTGGGCCAAGCAGTACAGAGGTTGGCGAGTCAGCGACCAGAGGGCGCCGCTGCCATCAGACCTCCTCGCGCTGGTTCGAGCCACGAGGAGGGGAGTCCAGGTTTTGGAGGATTTGGAGGCTGAGGACGGTGAAGTTTTTGATTCCACGTGGGGTGAAGCTTGGACGATTCCCGAGCTCTACTCCAAGTTCGGCTTGCTGCCGCCCGCTGGTCAGGAGCCCCCCCAGAGGGGAGAGGATTCGGACTAGCTCTGTTTTGCTGTTAGGGGCGTATGGCATTGACAGACACTCCCAACGAGAATAGAATAGAATAGGGGGAGGAGCAGGAGGAGGAGGAGGAGGAGGAGGAGGAGGAGGAGGAGGAGGAGGAGAGGAGAAGAGGAGGGGGAGGAGGAGGAGGAGGAGAGGGAGGAGGAGAGAAGGAGGAGTAGGAGGAGGAGGGGAGGAGGAGGAGGAGGAGGAGGAGGAGGGGGAGAAGGAGAAGGAGAAGGAGGAGGAGGAAACAACGACAACGACGACGACATGGAGGAAGGACGAGGCCATCGGCGCCGCGGCCGCGGAGGATCGGGGCGGGGCCGCCCGAGGCGACGGC